GGGTCTGACTAGTGTGGAATAGAGGGAGATCATCACCTCCCTGGTTCTGGGTACCATACCTTTATTAATGCTACAGAAGTTTCCATTAGTTTTGGGTCCTCACCATTTGATGCAATATATTTCCTGATTCCCCTCAGCTTTTGGTTATCAGTGGATTTAATAAGCAACTCAGTTTCTCCGCATTCAAAATGCAGAAATGGCATTTGCCAAAAATAACCTTCCCTTCTGCCACTAAGCCAGCAGCCAGCTTTCTTTAGTTATGGCCACTTTACCACATGTAAACCCATCTAGCCACCTGGCATCCAGCTGCACTTCTCCATTTGTTCAAGAGACTCTCTTCTCTTCCGTCTAACCCACAGACTTCTCCCTTGACTGTGGCAGTGAAAACAGAATGAGAGCGAGGCGGTCCTGCCCTTGCTGACCTGTCAGCCAGCCTGCACCATCTCTCCGCCACCCCACCGGGAGACGGACCTGAAGGGGTGTTGCACTGGTGCTGGCATTCTAGTCCTCGGTCATCTGTGGCATTTGCTGTGACTTTGATATCACTTATAAAATGAAGGTCATTTTATTAACAGCCCCATCTGTTGATTTTCTGCTAAGTGCTAGAAACACAGGTTCCAGAGCCTGGCTGCTGGTGTTCAAATCCTGACTTTCAACACCAACTTCTCAGGGAATCTTGAGAAACTCACCTTATTTCTCTGAGCCTCAGTTTTCTTCTCTGCGAAATGGGCACAATAACCGGACTTTGCTCACAATGGCATTGTCATAATTAAATGAGTTTATATATATAAAGTGCCTGGCAGGTAGAAAACACTTACTAAATGTTAGCTGTGACTAGCATTGTTTCTCAGATGCGTGATAACCCTGCAAATAGCCTCTGTTTTACAGGTGAGGACACTGAGGCTAATGGAAATGAGCCAGTAGCTCAAAGCCGTGAGATGAGTAGGAGGCAGAACCAGGATTTGAACTTAAATCTGTTTCCAGGGCATAAATGTTCTCTCCTTTATGCCTTGTTGATCCCTGTGGGATTAATAACACCTTTCATTTCCACCCTTTTGTTCATAGGAAAATAAAATATTCATGAAGGTAAAAAATTTACGAAGATAAAAAAATGTATGAAATTTGGGGGAAAAGAGAGATGACATAGGTGGGGAAAAGAAGGTGCAGTCATTATCATTAGAAAAGCTTCTGGATTTAAGATCACTGAAATTTCAGTCCCATTATGTCTGTTTGTTGCTTTGATAAAAGAGATCAGTCATAACACTAATTATATCAGGCATATTAATAGAGTCAATTATGCTTATGCAGATTTTTCTCTTGCTCTGATGAAACAAAATAATTCTTCCAAGATGCATTTAATTTGGTGCCATTTTTCCTGCCAAAGACTAAATGTACTTGTAGAGATGAGAAGACATCTGCTTTTGAGATGCACAGTAATGGAACAGTAAGTTTGCAATTTTGCAGCTTCCCAAAAAGCAAATGTAAAAGTTCTAGCCCCTTCTTAATTACGCTTTTTTTCTTTCTTTTTTTTTTTTTAGAAAAACAAGTTTTTACAAAAATAGAACAAAATATAGGGTCATGATTGTATCTGCATTTCCCTTTCATGGGTCCACCAAGGAACAGACAGGGAGTGTTAAGAGTTCTCAGTTTCACCCCCTAGATCCACGCCCTCATCATTCACTGGCATGGACATTCACCCGTTTTCCAAATCCAGAGCCCAACATCAGCCGTGACCCCTCCCATTCTCCTGTATGCCATGTCTGATCTGTCAGCAAACACTATGGGTTCTCGCTCTCTCTTCTTCTTTTAAATATAAACTGGAGAGTTTATTAATTTTTGGAGAGTTGTAGACTTATAGACAAGTTGCGAGGTTAATACAGAGAATTTCTGTACCTGTATCCCATGCCTCGTTTTCCCTCTTGTTCCCAGTTTACATTACTGTGATCCCTTTATCACAACAAAAGAACCACATTGATCCATCTTTATTAACTAAAGTCCATACTGGATTCAGATTCCTTTAGTTTTTACCTGATGTTCTTTTCCTGGTCCAGGGTCCCGTCCAGGACACTGCATTACATTTAGTTGTTATGTCTCCTTAGGCTCGCTTTGGCAGTTTCTCACAATTCCCCAGTTGGTAATGACCGTGACACTTGTGAGGAGTACCAGTCAGGTATTTTTTAGGATGCCCTCTCTTGGGATTTGTCTGACATTTTTCCTGTGATTGGACTGGGGGTTCCGGTGCTATTCTTACCACGTCATGTCAAGGGTACATATTGTCTACATGACTTACCACTGATGGTAAGACATATTGTCTACATGACTTACCATGATTGGCCTTGATCGTGTGGCTGAGCTCTGTATCTAGGGTCTCTGCGGTGTGAAGTTACTCTTCCCCTTTCCATGCTCTACTCTTTGGGAGGAGGTCACTGTGCAGCTGTGAGCTCTCTTTTCACTCATTCACTATGTGTCCTAACTCTGTCCCCCTCTTCCCCACTGCCACCGCTCTGGTCCAGGCCACCATCACCTTCCGACCATGTGGCGCCTGGACCCAAAACCCCCTTGAGCCCTCCTGGCACGCTTGGAATGACAGAGGAGGCCACCTCTGGTGCTCCCAGCCGCCCTCACTCTGTTGGAGCCACACCAGTGTTCTCGCTGCTCCTTGAATTGCCAGACATTACTGCCTCGGGCCTCGGCACCTGCATTTCCTCGGCTTGGGAACATCCTTCCTGGCCCCAGGCAGTCTGAGGCCTGGCTCCTCATCTTTTCTGCCCCCCAACCCCAAGATCTCTCAGCCCTTGCACTGCATTTGCTCTGTAGCACTTCTCACCGGGAGGCCTTGTGCTGGGTGTTTGTTTATGGTCTGCCTCCCCAGGGTAGAGTGTAAACTTCTTAGGGGCAGAGACTGCCCGTTCTGCTTGCTGCCATATCCCCAGGCCCTGGCACAAAGTCCACGGTTAAGTGAGAGTGTTGTGCTTGGTGTGGAATCACCCCTTGGATGCAGGTTGCTTTGTCCTCGCTTCACGTTTTGTGAAGATTTCAGAGAATTTTGTTTTTGTGCCCTCCTGCCCTGCCTCTAATAAGACTCATAATTTAGGCTACTTAAAATATCAAACTGAGACCTCTGAAAAGCCTGTATTTCTAGGCATCTGGACCTCAGGAACTCACGGGCAGTGTTGTGATGTAGAGGTTACTAGCTGTCTTGAGATCTCTGTAACTTGCCGGGAAGGGGGCACGCGGGCCAGCCACAGAGCTGTAGGAATGACCGCACCCTGGGGGCTCCTGGGTCCTCCGCGGTGTTCTCCTGTGAGCTCTGCTTGCAGCTGTGAGGGACATTTCTGTAGCACCTTGCTCTTCCTTCATCCCCATACCCCAGCCTGCTCAGATTGTGCTTGGAATGAGAACAAACCCAGGTCCTGAAGGAAACCAGACTGGGCCTAAATGAGAAGATTTTTAATAAAAGTCCCCAGTGCAGGTCTGTTTTCTTTTCATACTCTTTGTTCTGCTTTTAGAGACACGAGTAATCTTCATGACGCATTGAGTGAGTCACGTTTTTCAGACTGGTGGAAAGTTTCTCCACTCTGACGAGTCCAGAAAACCGAGCCATAGGCCACTGGAGAGAAGCATAACCTCCTGGCTGATGGAGCAGCCCTGGCTTCCTTGTAGAGAGATTACCGTGACGGCTGTTCCCAGAGATGGGTGCCGCGCACGTGCGTGTGTGGGTGCGCGTGCATGCGTGTGCCTGCGTGTGTGTGTACACTTGTGTGCATGCCTGCGTGTGTGTGCGCGAGCGTGTGCCTGCGTGTGTGCGCGCTTGTTTGTGTGCCTACATGTGTGCGTGCCTGCGTGTGTGTGTGCGAGCGTGCATGTGCGTGTATGCCTGCGTGTGTGTGCGCTTGTTTGTGTGCCTGCGTGTGTGTGTGCGTGTGTGTGTGCGCTTGTTTGTGCCTGCATGTGTGCGTGTCTGTATGTGTGTGCGCGAGCGTGTGTGCCTGCGTGTGTGTGTGCTTGTGTGCCTGCATGTGTGTGTGCACGTGTGTGCGAGTGTGTGTGCCTGCGTGTGTGTGTGCGAGCGTGCACGTGCGTGTGTGCCTGCATGTGTGTGTGCTTGTTTGTGTGCCTGCGTGTGTGTGCGAGCGTGTGTGCCTGCGTGTGTTTCTGTGTGTCTGTCTCTCCATCTGTGTTGGAAAGGGGCCCACCGTGAGAACAGTTTTGACTTGGTTGGTTGTATGGGGAAACCATTTAGGGGCAGGAGTGGAACACAGAAATCACCCCAGTCCAACCATTTCATTTTCCATAGGAAGGAAGGGGCCTGGAGGGGTTAAGTGATGGGCCTGAAGTCCTCTGGGAGGGTAGTGGAGGCTAGAAGAGTGGGTCTAAAAGCCCAGGCCCCCCAGTTCCATGTCCAGTAAAGCAGCTCCGTGTCATTGCGCACTTGCTACGTGCCGGAGACTGCCCCACTGCCCGCATGCATCCTTTTTTTTTTTTTAATTTTTGAAGATTTTATTTATTTTTATTTATTTTTTATTTTTTATTTTTTTTATTTTTTTAAAGATTTTATTTATTTATTTGAGAGAGAGAATGAGATAGAGAGAGAGAGCATGAGGGGGGAGGGTCAGAGGGAGAAGCAGACTCCCTGCTGACAGCAGGGAGCCCGATACGGGACTCGATCCCGGGACTCCAGGATCATGACCTGAGCCAAAGGCAGTCACTTAACCAACTGAGCCACCCAGGCGCCCCTGAAGATTTTATTTTTAAATAATGGCTACACCCAACTTAAAACCCCTAGATCAGGAGTCACAGACTGTACCGACCGATCCAGCCAGGCGCTCCCCGCATGCATCCTTTGACTTATCTTCTCTGCTTCCATCTACAGTAGGACTTTTGGCATCCTTACTTTGGAGATGAGAAAACCGATGCTCAGAGAGGCAGTGACCTTGCCAAGATCACCCAGCTAGCACATAGTAGGACACCCAGCTAGCACATAGTAGGACTGGGATTCGATGCCCGGTCCTGCATCCCTGGGGCCTGTTCTTTGTGACGACAGTGTTCCGTGAGGCCCTTTCAGCTGCCTCTGTCCGTTCTCCACGTCTGCCGTAATCTCTGGACCCCTTGGAAACGCTTTGTGTCTATCAGGAGTGGCTTCCCAAGACCACACAGCTCTGGGGCCCATGGGTGGGTACACGGCCGTGTCTCACTGTGTGGTCTGTGTCCTGCAGGGGAGTCCAGATAGGCCTTGTTCAAAGCAGGAGCCGCCAGACTTTCCAGCAGTGTGAGTTCGGTGTGTACGCTCTCTCGCTCTTACTCACAGAGGCCGGCCCTCCCCTTGTCACCATGGATCCTCCGAGAAACTCACTGGGCCCTTGGAGGCCGCAGGTTCCGCCATCACAGGAGGCGAGGAGTGTCCAGTATGGTGGCTCAGGGTTTGTTCAGAGTGGATTGCAGGGGGTTGGGGTAGACTTGGGTGTGACATGGACCCGGATTCAAGTACTGGCCCAACCATTGTTTATCTTTGTGAGCTTGGGCAGGTTCCTTGACTCTACTTCTCAGATGATTCAGCAGTCCAAGGGACATGAGATGCCCTACCTCCTCCATGAGGAGTACATAGAATAAAGTCCAGAACAATGTGTGGCCCATGACTCAGTAAAAGCACCCGTCTCAGGAGCATTTAAATATCTCCCCCATGTCCTACATCTTTCTACTCACTCCCAAGTTTAGGAGAAGATTCCAGAGGTGTGCAGACCCATGGCCTCACTTCGGGAGGCGGGACTGTGGTGCCGTGTGTGGGGTTCTGGGGATGTGTGTGTGAAGTCTGTTCATAAAAATGCAGAGCTGTACACGGTGTTCAGGATTCTTGGAAACGCCCCTGAGTGGAAATAGCATTTGGTGATTTCTTGGCATGCGCTGCAGGTGTTAGATAAATGAGCTCGGATGTGACATTTGAGTCAGCACTCTATGCAGCTTGAACACTTGCTGCATGCCATTCAGCCCGGTGGAAGCAGGAAATGTTTCCACACAAACGTGACCCTGGCCATGGAAAGTTAGTGCTTTTGTGCAAAGAGGTTGTGTGCCTCTTGATAGCTGTCTAGGCTTTTTTTTTTTAAGTGGGGGAGGGGCAAAGGGAGAGGGAGAGAATCTCAAGCAGGCTCCACACCCAGCATGGAAGCCGACGTGGGGCTCGATCTCACAACCCCGAGATCATTACCTGAGCTGAAACCAAAAGCTGGACGCTTAACCGACTGAGGCGCCCCCAGCTGTCCAGATTTTTACTTAAGCAGTTTACATTGTACCTGGAAGGAAGATCCTAGTGCCACAGCCTCTCTAGACTCAGGAATTTACTCTTCTTTCCTACAGGTCTGTACGCCAAGGGCGGAGGGGAGTGGGGAGAGCAGGGGAAGAGGTCCAGGCCTGATTCCCTGCCCACCACATCGCAGCTGTGTGGCCCGGCCACCCTGTCTCTGTCAGTGCCTCTGGGGCCCCATCTGTAAAATGGGAATGGGAGGGCCTGCCTGTGGTACCAGCAGACGCGGTGCTCGGTACCTCGGTGCTACCGGGGGGTAGCCCGTGTTCTAATGCTGAGATTTGGGGGGGAGGGGTGGACCTAGTCTAGTAGATATGAACAGGGCTGGGGTTTTTGCATAGTTTGAGGAATGGTTTGATAATAGGAGCTACCAGGGGAGCCAAGCTGCCTCCGAAAGTCACGCATGTTCTGAGTCAGAGTGCTGGAGCAGTAATTGGCTACCACATGCTGAGAAAGGGCCCTCTCGGCCCAAGTGGGAGGGAGGCCGTACCTGACAACAGGGAGGTCCTTCCACCCGGGGCGGGGGGGTAAGCAGCAGCCGACTATCTGGATGAGAAAAGCAATGAAAGCTATATGGAGGGGACCCACCCCCCCCTTTGAAAAGTTTTCAGCTTGGTCTCTTCATGAAACCTGGCAGTGGGGCCACGCCGGGGGCCGGTACATTGAGGTGCTCATATCTGAGCTGAATGGATGGTTGGTAATGTGTTGGGGAAAGTCACCCTTCTAAGAGAGGGGATGCTCCAGTTCCTCTTCATTAGCCGCCTTAAATACAGTAGGAGGAGGCGAAGTCTTGGAGGTGGAAGCAGATGTATTTCTGGGCTCCTAGGAGATAGAGGGGCCCGGGGGCAGAGGGAAGGTTGGACGGGGGTAGTGAAGACGAGAGAAGCTGGGGCCGGGGGTGAGACCTTACCTGTGCTTGGGCAGATGAACAGGAGTGGGGTGGAGGGAGGGCTCTGTGACCAAGAGGTCCTTGGTCCAGAAGCAGAGGGCTAAGCTGTGGTCTGTCCTCACCCCATCTTCCCACCAAAGTGTGTCAGCCACCTCAGCTTTTGTACAGGGACCAAATCTGGACACTATCTGAACTTAGTACATTGTTAGCTAAAAATGCTGCCTTTCTTCTTTCTTAGTATCCGGTGGAAATCAGGAAGTATGAGTATGACCCAAATTTTGCAATTCGTGGACTTCATTATGATGTGCAGCGGGTAGGTTTCATCGTCCTGTTTTTCTGCAGTTTAATGGTGTTTGGGAATAATGTACTCTCGGTGCTTTTCTTTGCTGGACACAGAAGTTGATTTTAAATTCTATTCCTTGGGGCTGCAGAACTGAATTATTAAAAAACATCTTTGGATAAAGTCTTCTGCAAAAGACTATTAGAAAAAAATGAATGCATTTAGCTATTTGGAAGATACTCTTTATTTCTAGAAGTCGTTTTTGGTGTTTTGAGGAGTCAATTGTCATATTGTTTTTGCACATCAGTCATTTCTTTAACAGACTGCACAGTGCTTTTTTTTTTTTTTTTAAGATTTTATTTATTGAGAGAGCAAGCGAGTGAGAGAGGGAGAGGATGAGCAAGGGGGGAGTGGGAGAGGGAGAAGCAGACTCTGCACTGAGCAGGGAGCTTGATGTGGGGCTGGATCCCAGGACCTTGAGATCATGACCTGAGCCAAAGGCAGATGCTTAACCGACTGAGCCACCCAGGTGCCCCCACAGTGCTCTAATCAACAGGCAAACCTGTTGGACACATACAGTGTGCTTCTTTGCCACATCAACCTGGTGCTGATAGGGTTTGTAATGACACCTGAAATTCTCATTAAATATGCAGCTTGCTGTGCATTCTTCACCTGTGTGTGTGTATGTGTTTATGTTTTTGAAGGCAGTATTGATGAAGATTGATGCTTTTCATTACATCCAGTTGGGAACTGTCTACAGGTAAGAGTAAGAGGAGGTAAATTTAATTCACTCATCCTAACGAAGTGGCTTTGGGTGACAGACCTAAGACCCATTGACTGCTTAGTTGTGAAGAGTTGTAGTGTGTGTATTTGTGGTTTATTCACTATTCATTCAAGAACATTTATTGGGGCCTGTTATGCCAGACCCGAAGGGTTTGGCTTACACGGATGCCCCAAGGAGCTTGGAGTGTAGATTGGAAGCCACATAAATTAATCAGACTGCAGTCCGTAGGGATCAGGGTGATGATGGTGTTTAGGCCATTAGGGGGCGCTCTGGGGAGGTTCTAGGAGAGGACGGGCTCTCTAGAGGTGCCCGTCTGCCGCTGAGTGAGGGTCCTGGAGCTGAGGTTTTGGGTGGGGAGGGAGGCTGGGGTGAGGCAGCGGATTCTTGTTCCCACCATGGCAGTTGAGTAGTTCGGATATTAAGACCCCCCTCCCATTTATTAGAATTAGTAGAAGCACTTAGCTCAGTCCAAAATCTTTGTCACTTTGAAAATGAAGGATTTTGCCTTTTCTTTTTTTTTTTTTAAAGATTTTATTTATTTATTTGAGACAGAGAGAATGAGAGAGAGAGAGCATGAGAAGGAGGAAGGTCAGAGGGAGAAGCAGACTCCCTGCCGCTGAGGGAGCCCGATGCGGGACTCGATCCCGAGACTCCAGGATCATGACCTGAGCCAAAGGCAGTCGCTTAACCAACTGAGCCACCCAGGCGCCCGATTTTGCCTTTTCTAATCCTTGAATTTGGGGGAGGATTTAGGAGTATGGTCATTATACCTTAAAAAAAGAGATGTGCCTATCTTAGGTTCTTCTTTCACAAACTCTTTATTAAAATTAATGTTTTTTATCCAAGTTAAACATGCACACAGTTCCGATCAGATAGTGCCGAGAGCGTCGTGGTGGGCTGCAGTAGCCCTCTGTCCTCCTCCCCACCCAAGCCCTTTACACTCTTCATTTTTTTTCTTCACATTTTTCTTCCTATCTCTTTTTCCTTTTTTTTAAAGATTTTTAATTTATTTATTTGACAGAGAGCACAAGTAGGCAGAGCGGCAGGCAGAGGGAGAGGGAGAAGCACCCCAGGTGCCCCTTTTCTTTCTATTTCTAAATAATGTGCTCATACTTCTGTTTCCTAATTTATTAATTCTGGACGTTGTCTCTGCCATGGGACAGGACTTGGTGCACGCACAAGCCCCCGCTTCTCTGGGCTCGTTCTTCGAGCCTCGTGCGGATCTGTGTCTGCGTGTTTCTCCATCCTTGGTCATTGTTTGCATCCTGACTTTGCAAGTCATGTTCCCTCTTACGCCATTTCATGCACTGTGACTGCTTTCTTCTGTGTACAGTGCTTGCTTTTTCTTAGATTTAATAATAACATCACTTTTTATCTGCTTTGTTTTCTGTAGAGGTGTCCCTAGTTTTTTCTAAATCCTCCATCACCAATATCATCCATGTATTTATTTCCCAACAATTCAAATGTTTTAGATATCTTATCAGTTACTTTTGTGTTTAATTGACTACCCCTTCTGCTCTGACCTTCTCTGATGGCTCATCCTGGGGCTTGGGTTTGCCTCTCTCTCTTTTCCCTGATGCCCATCTTTTCCTCTCTTTGGCTTTACTCCCTCGTTCTGCTTTAGCATATCCTCCAGGAGCTCCCCGGTGCCTCGCAGAGCTGAGCCTTTCTGGGGGCTCTGGCCGCTAATCAGTTCTTCGCGTTGGTGTCCCCATGCAGGACCCTATTCTCAGCTTGCTAAGCCAGGAGCCTCCTTTTCATCTGCTATTTGTCTTCCACGAACATGTTGAAATGTCTTGTCTACTGATGTCTTTGCTCTCATATCCTTTTACTTTTTGAGTAGTGTATTCTTTTTTTTTTTTTTTTTTTGAGAGAGAGAATGTGCATGTGCAAGTGGGGTGGGGAACAGCAGAGGGAGAGGGAGAGAGAGAATCCCAAGCAGGCTCCACACCCAGCATGGAACCCATGAGGGTCTGAGTCTCATGACCCTGAGATCATGACCTGAGCTGAAATCAAGAGTCAGGTGCTTAACTGACCGAGCACTCTAGGTGCCGCTGAGTAGTTTATTCTTTTGCTATCATTTTAATGGTGTTTCAGGAGGGAGAAGAGATGCTGGTGTTGATGAAAATAATAGTAGTAATAATAAATAGCAATGAGCAAATACGAAGTCTTGCTACAGCACAGACACTGTCATAAGAGTTTTATTTGGGTTCACTTATTTGATCCTTGAAATAACCTTATGAGGTAGGTACTGGTATTAGTCCCAGAGATGTTAAGTGACTTGTCCAAGGCCACACAGAAGTGGCATTCAGACCCAGCTTGTCTGGCTCTGAGCCTGTGCCTTTGACCTATATGCAGCATGGTTTGTGTGAACGGATTAGGTTAAGGAAATCCTTCACCAGATCTTTCGGATCTGTCCCTCCGTCTCTGTTCCTGCCATCAGCTCCCTGGCTCAGAAACTTAATCCTTTTCTCTTGGGCTCTTGTAGTTTTCTGCAGTGTGGTCTGTCCTGGACATTGTTGCTGGACTGATTCATCTAAAGCATTGCCCTCAATAGTCTCTCCTCTGAAATCCTGGCTAGCTCCCACTGCCTGAAGAATGGAGCCCAAACCTCTTAGGTTTTCCACCAGCCTTCTCTAAACCCGTATCCTACTCTTCTTCCACACACAGCTCTTTCACCTCCTGATTAGTTACGACTCTTGGTTACAAGTGACTGAAACCTGACTCAGACTGGGTTAACCAGAAACACAACATTAGCTCACCTGTTGTGCAATCCAAGGGACAGTGCCAGTTGCAGGTGTGGCTGGCTCCAGGGGCCAAATTGATGTTGTCAGAACTCTTTCCATCTGTTGGCTCTCTCCCTCTGGGTTTGCTCCAGGCAGGTCCCTGCACATGGAGACCCCTGGTGACACCCCTGGCCCCAGGTCAACAGGAGCAGGGGACGGTCTCTTCCCAGCAGTTACAGCCAGTCTTGGCGTGCATGAGGCAGGTGCACGTAGCACGTATATTCCTCTCCTCCGAGGTCTCCTTTCCTGCTGCTCGCTATCTGCTCATGCTGGTGTGTTCTACCAGGGTGCAGTTTTCCTTCCTCGCTGCTTCTTGAAATCTCATCCACCCTTCCTTCAAGGCTGACTGGTGCTGAGGCCTCACCCCCCGCCCCCCCTCAGCCCGACATGGTCCTTCCTTCTTCTTCTCAGACCACGTAGTCCTACAGCTCCTAACTGCCTTGTTTCTTCTTCTGTAGGTCAGTTGTCCACCATGTTAGGGAGTATGGAGAGGGCTAGGCGGGAGAAGCCAGCCGAGGCATTTGAAGGAGAGGGAGCGTCGGGTTTAGGTCCTGGGAAGGTCGCTGTGGCCGCAGCGCTGAGGGATGTGGTGGGCTGAGGCAGCATGGGTGTGTGTGTGGGCTCCGGAGTCACACTTCCTCAGCGTGGACCCTGCCTCACCGCTTTCGTGTGTGTGGCCTTGAGCCACTTCTTGACCATCTCAAAGCCTTGGTTTGTTCCTCTGTAGAATTGGCGTGATTCCCCTGGCTGCCCCAGGGGTGCTTGTCGGGTAGACCAGAGTGTGCCCCGGGCAGTAGAGACACGAAGAGTGTCCCTGCTCTTGCCTTTCCCTGAAAAGGGGAAAGGCCTTGGCGGGGCAGAATGCCCCCTCCTCAGCCTTGCCCATTTCTGAGACCTGCCGTGGGTCCCCAGCTCCTATATCAGGTTGAATTTTGTGTTGTGGGCCGTGGGAGCGAATGCCACAGGCCAGAGGGGGAGGCAGACTGGCTCTCACTACAGTCCCATTTGGTACCCACAGTTCAAGCTCTGGCTAGGGACCTGGGGAAAAGCTACGCTTGTTCTCATCACAGGTACACCAGCAAAGCTTTGCTAGCGCTTGCCACGTACTCTTCTGTATATAGTAGCTCATCTGATCTTCTCAGTTATGCCAGGAGGCAGACACTATTATTGTTCCCCATTTTAAAAATGACACTGAGACCCGAAGAGGTTCTATTGCTTGTCCAGGTAATATCCCTACTAATTAAGGAAGCTGAACCCCGGGCAGACACTTGCGGATCTGTGCTCCTAACCTTTATATTTCTCACAACCTCACGGGGCCACATCAAGTAGTTTGCATTTTGATCCTCGCACTGGTTGAGGCTGCCCCCGGGTGCGGCTGGCCGTGCCCCAGAGCCTGTGGCCGCCGTCCTGTGGGGTGCTGTCCCCGCCGGAGCCGCCTCCTGCCGAATCCGGCTCGCTGCAGCCGACTCATCTCACCGCTGCTTTTGAGCTGACATTCAGTAGTTACTGGGGCAGCTTGGGAGGCTGTGAACCTGGCAGGGCCTAGTGTGGGAGCAGGAAAATGACTCACCCAGCAGAGTTCTTTCATTTTTTTATAATTTCTTTCTAAGTGTTAGAGTCTTAGGCAGGTGCACACCTGAGCAGGAGCTCTGCCTCAAGGTCACCGCCCAGAATGATCGGCTGAATGATAAAGGGAAGTGCAAGGCCTCCTTTGTTTTCACAGGCTGGAAGTTGTAGCAAGTTAATGAAGATGGGGGGGGGTGTGTGGGCAAAATACTAATGAATCCCCTTGGGTATTTTTGAAAGTTATATGAGGGCGGAGAACAGAGGAAAGAGGCTGAAATTATATTTTCATTACACTTACATATCAAACATAAATTACATTTTATATTTGTGGTTTTATAAGCAGCCGGTTCGTATTAGTAACTGAGACTCTCAGGGCATTATTCATACTCACGCTGTAGGTAGCACTGGGTGGACTTCCCATCATCCATTCTGTGGTCTCCTCACCACTGGTGCCTTGTTTCCCAAGCACCTTCCCCACAGAAGCGGCTGGGGAACCGACGTTCTTCTTCGTGACCCTCTAGAGGGGGCAGTGCTAGGTGAGGAAATATGAGAGCATTAAATCCCTGGTGAGAGCACCTGCTCAGAGCGCTGGTGATGGCGGCAGCAGAGGTGAAAGCCAGGTTGCTCTTCGCTCTGACTCCAAAATTTATTTTCCTCTTTGTGGAGAAGCTGGATTCGTTTGCAGATTCTGCCGTGGCTCCCGGAGGCAGGCAGTTGGCAGATGTTACCCTGGCTTTTTATAGACGAGGAAACTGGCCTTGACTGTCACGTCGCATTTGGGGTCATCCCTCTCGGAGATGGCACCCAGGCTTCCTGCCTTGTGTCACAGGGTTCAGTCCACCCGAGCCTCATGTGTGACCTTTCCTGTCTCAGCGCTGACCTTTTTAGGAGTGAGTATCAGAGGGCAGGAGGGTGATAGAGACAAAGCTAGCCTTTCCGTCCCTAATCTATTAAAAACATAAAACATAAAAACGGAAACCTAAACCCAACCCCCAAAGCAGAGGAAGGCCTTGTACCTTGTACCCTGTACCTGTGTGACATTAGTGGTTGAGGAGCCTGGGCCCCTAGAGCCAGAAAGCCTGGGGTCTGGTCCTGTCCCACCACTTCCTACTTTGGTGACCTCGGGTAAGATACGTGACCTTTCTGGGCCTCAGTTGCCTCTGCTGGGAAATGGGAAAATGTTAGTGCTTCCCTCCTAGGATTGCTGAGAAGTAAGTGAATGACCGTGTGGAATTCACACCTGCCCGCTCTAGTACGTGTTATTTTTCCTGCCCTTATTACCCACAGAATGCTGGTGGTGGTGGTGGTAGGAGCAGTAGCTTCTTGCCTGTCACTGGAGCAGTTACCCGTGGCACATCTCACCTCCTTGTGACAGTGGCGTCTTGCCCCGGGGCTGAGAAATCCCAGCAGTTGCCAGAGGTCTGAAGTCACTGCTCTCACTAGTTGAGTCTAACTGCACTACCTGTGATTTTTCCAGAGGCCTCAGTGTTGTCCCCGATGAAGAAGTCATTGAAATGTATGAGGGGTCCCACGTGCCCCTGGAACAGATGAGCGACTTTTATGGAAAGGTAATGAGAGATTATTTATTTAAAGCAGCTTGTCAACAGACATGTCCTGGTAGATTTAGGATCTCTCTGAGTGCTCCTGTGGAACTGACAAGGGCATTTGGGACTGTTTCGAGAGGCCCTGGATTTGAGAGAGGCTAGTATGTTGGCATCTCTCCTAGGCCCTTCATGGTTCCCCTTCCTTAGCTCTTTCCTCCCTATCTGATGAAGGTTCTTTATACCTTCCTTGCACCCACCCCTGTCTACAACCCCCCACCCCAGGCATGTCCCCACTTTCTGGATGAAGTCAGGGCAGCTGTGGTTGCCTTCCCTGAGATTGAGGACAGCAGGTCACCCTGTGGTTGGAGGGAAGCCTCTGCTTCTCTGACTTTTGTGGTTCTCTTTGCTTTCTGAATTTTTGCTCGTCTTATTAGGTGCACTCTTATTTGCACTGTCAAAATGCACTGGAAGATGCCCGGTCAGCTGGTAAACTTAGGCTTACTAATTGCAGGCATTCAGAGAAAGGCTCTTTTTCAGGCTCACATATGGCTGTGTGGGGGCACTCACATTCAGGAGAGTTATGTGGCTTTTTATGCCATTCCATGGGCAGTAGTCTACTTGCCGGCTTTCCTCTGTGTTTGATGGGAGAGTGTGAGCTGGAAGTTAGAGCTCACAGGAGCATGAAAAAGTGGTTAGATTTTTTGGGGGCGGAAATCAGGACATTTCCTTGGATTTCCCAGTTATGCGTAGAGTACATCATCAGCTGTGCCAGGAACGATAAGAAATAAGGCGAATGCTTCTACTTTGTTATTGTTAGAATAGTCCTTTTCTTGGGGAGAGGGATCCAGATGGTGATGACCAGAATCCCCCCGGGTAAATGTCAAGTCTGGCTCTGCTGTGGTGTTGGTCTCTGTTTCTGACGCTCTCCTCCCTGCCTGCAGAGTTCTCATGGAAACACCATGAAGCAGTTCATGGACATCTTCTCCCTGCCGGAGATGTCCCTCCTCTCCTGTGTGAATGAATACTTCCTTAAGAACAACATTGACTATGAACCTGTCCATCTGTACAAAGATGTCAAGGTGAGAGGCGGTGGTCCATGTCTCCCAGAGGGTTTTAGCAGAAGGGACAGCATCGTTAGCCTCCTTGGGTTAGGTATTTGAAATAGTCCTTTGCCTGGGATCTCTTTTATTTATGGTTTTACCCTGAAAATTATTAAGAAAGATCTTATCTTAAGAAGATCTGGAAGAAGCTGGAAATCAATTAAGGAAGAAGGCGCTCATACTGTTATCTGGATTTCTAATTCTTCCTGACCAAAGGCCAGGGCCAGTGCATCTGGTCAGAGGGGCGGGTGGTGGCTGAGGTCTAGCCCGACCCAGCTCACCCCTGAGCCTGCCTGCAGAGGGGGTGACTTCACACGCAGGCTGCAGCCCATGCAACTGCAGTTGCCCAGAGCGGGCCTCTCTCTTGTACGCGGAGGTTCCATGTAGGCCCTCCCAGCCCTGCAAAAGCTGTGTGAAAACCCAGTTGGAGAGGGTTATAGACAGCTGTGAAACTTACATGCATATATACGTACATCATTTATGTAGCTTTGTATTTATATATGTTGATTTATGTTCGCATGTATTTATATATATTCTTTAAGCTTTCTGAACTTTTTTCAGTACTTAAAAATATGTTCATGTATTAACATATACATATATCATATACATGTTTATAAGTATGTATTTCTATGTATATATTTATATATGTAATATATATTTAATAAGCACTAATATTTTTAAGAGATCTGTATTTATGTACTACAATGTTTTTATTATATCCTTATGACTAATTTTAAATTTTGACTGCTTTAAATCATGGGTTTTAGGAACATGAAGAATGAATTCTAGTTTCTCAGTATTAGTCTGGTATGATTTGAACTAAAGTTAAATATTTAGTTTCTGTTCTCCTTTTTATGTGCACAAATGCTTTAAGAATTTTAAGTATCACTTGTAGTAAAAGATAAATAAAAGAACCACTTGTAGTTATATAACCCTTGCAGTCATGAGGAGAGATGTCTATCTGATACCACCAATGGAGAGCCCTGAGGTATATTCCAGGCACTGTTTTTCTGAGTGCTTTCTGCACATTAACTGATTAAATCCTCACAACCATGCCTGGAGGTAGGTACTATTATTACTCTCATTTTACAGATAAAGAAACTGAGGCACAGAGAGGTTGAGTCACTTGCCCAGAGTCACACAGCTAGTAATGGCAGAGCCTAGATTTCCAGCCAGGAAGTTTGGCTTTGGCTTGCTCTGAATCCCTGCCTTCTGCCGACGTGAAGCCTGTGCTGGAAGGTGGCCGAGGTTGAGTTTGTAGTCCAGAGGCGCTCACTCTTGATAGAAATCTCCTACCAGTTTCCTAAGGCTTATGGCCCAGTTTTGCCTGCAGCCCAGTCCCCTGCTGTAGGCTCCAGAAAGTTTCCGTGTGCCTCCAGGAGAGCCACCTCTATGGTGGACCTGCTTAGTGCCCCCTGAGAGTGGGGCTGCACTCTGACACCTGCCAGGCATCAGGCCGCCACAGCCTGTGGCCTGTGAGGGGCTCGCGGCCTCCTCTTCCTCATGTCTGCCTGAGTTAGCATCTCACTGACCGCTCCTCGCCTCGCTGAATGGAAGAGCCTGTCATTGGTCTCGGCCTCTTTCTCTGGAGTAGAGAACCTGCTCTTGGGGTCTAGGGAGGGGTGCAAAGATGAAAAAAGCAGTAATTCCCTTTGTCCAGATGCCCTGGAATTGTCTGTTCATGATACTGCATGGAAATTGCCATTTACCATGTGGAATTTTATTCAGAATTGTTCACACAAGTTATGTCCCCCCAGTGACCCTTCTGAAAACTGCCACTGTTGCCATGGAAACCTAAGTGTTGGTCGCCTGTGTGAAATGGCCCAGCACTGGGATTTCATTTGGTGCTTGGACGGCCAGGCCTCTAAAGGCGGACATCGTTGCGAATGCCGTTCCGCTCGTCCTGTCGCGCAGGCTGTCTCACTGACCCCATCACTGATTGGAAACCTCTCTTTCGACAGGATTCAATTCGAGATGTGCACATCAAAGGAATCATGTACAGCGCGATCGAAGCAGATATTGGTACGTAGGCAGCATTATCGCGAGGGCCGCTTCAGCCTGTCCCTTTGCCGGGCCACGAGCCGGCCGTTATTTTCATTCTTGGTGCCGAGCCGGCACCCAGTACCTCTTCCCAGTGCAGCGTGAGGACCTTGCTTCCTCGCACCTCAGACGTCTCCCTCCCCTTTGTCTCAGACCTCCACTTAATCCTGACCCAAAAAGACAGGCGCTGGCTGCGGCAGGCAGGCATCTAGTATGTTCCCTTAGACTGAGGGGGTGGAGTCTTGGTTCCTGCTGGACCAGGTACTGCTAGGCCAGCCTGAACCACGCTTCCTTAAGATTTGCCTTCTCCCAAGGGCCCCGGACGCACTGGACCCACAGGTTTAGGGAGCCCTTGCAGACTGACTGACTTCATGCTGAATCCATGTGTGAATTTGTCTCTCGCTCTTAGAAAAGTACATCTGCTATGCCGAGCAGACCCGGGCAGTGCTGGCCAAACTGGCTGATCACGGCAAGAAGATGTTCCTCATCACCAACAGCCCCAGTAGTTTCGTGTAAGTGGCAGCGGGTGTCCCTGCTGGCTTCTGGCTCGCGTCTTGTCTGGTATTCCCATTTAAGTTCACAGTTGAAAATTTGAAAGAAAACGTTGCAAAGGTAGTGAATCCGTTTCTTGTTAGACTCACCTGGCTGACCTGTTGTTTCAGGGACAAAGGGATGAAGTATATTGTCGGAAAAGACTGGAGGGACCTTTTTGATGTGGTCATCGTTCAGGCCGAGAAGCCAAACTTCTTTAACGATAAGCGGAGGTGAGCGTCTGTCTTTCTGGGAGAACTAGATTGTCATCCTTTGCTGCTGTGAACATTTAAGTCATGTGACTTGGTGAAGTCTAGTTGGAAAATCAGAAGCGTCTGACATTGTAGCTTTTGATTTTGAGGACGGCTCGCACCTGTTGAGATGGTTCTCACTTCAGCTGGGCCTACTTCAGTCCTGGGGGTCAGGCTCTAAGAAAAAGATAAAAAAAAAAAAAAAGAAAAAGATTGACAGCAATGAAAACGCCACACTTAGTATTACATCATAAGTTAGACCTCTTGATGCAGATGCGTTGTGAAGCGTAACAGAACAACAGCAACAGCGGGCCACCTGGTGGGTATTTTGGTACGTACGGCTCTCACTGGTGCATTTAAAATTACAGCTGGATTTTACAAAACTCTGCAACACAGGTTTTGTGTCAAATGGAGTAAATCTCTGCCAAGACTTACATAGCGTCTTCCTGCCACGGGAAATAGAGGAGCTGGGAAGTTTTGGGTTATGACGGTGACTAGGGTGTGCTCTTAGCGTTAGTAGGTGGGGGTCAGGGATCCTAAAATATTTTTTTTAACATTTAAAAATGTTTTATTTTATTTTTTAAAAGATTTTATTTATATTGAGAGAGAGAAAGAGAGCATGAGCAGGAGGGAGGGACAGAGGGAGAGGAAGAAGCAGCTCCTCTGCTGAGCAGGCAGCCTGATGAGGGGCTCGATCCCAGGACCCCAGGATCATGACCTGAGCCAAAGGCAGATGCTTAGCTGACTGAGCCACCCAGGTGCCCCTAAAATGTTTTGCAATGTGTGGAACAGACCTCTTCACCAAGTGTCATCCCCTCCCCCCGCACCCATTTATTTTGTCTTTGTTCTGCATGCACAGGACACCTCCATTCCTCCCTGTGTTATTTATAATGATGAAGATCAGAGACAACCTAAAGGAACATCCATGGGAGGGGGTATTATACAGCCATTAAAAATGATGTATTTGGGGGGCGCCTGGGTGGCTCAGTTGGTTGGGTGACCGATTCTTGATTTTGGCTGAGGTCATGATCTCAGGGTCATGGGATCAAGCCCCGCATCAGGCTCCGTGCTGAGCATGGTGCCTTCTTGGGATCCTCTCTCTCTTTCTCCCTCTTCTCCTCCCTGCATGCGCGCGCCCTCTCTCTCTCTCAAAAAAGAAAAAGATGTATTTGGGAAAAAAAGCAATGAGCATGTTTTATGACTGTTAAAAACATGTATGAAAGGATTTGTAATCACATGGGAGATTGCTCACAACATTAGAGAAAAAGAGATACAAATCAGTATACACGGTGATCCTCATTTGTGTTCATAAAAAAGAGAAAGATAACAGATGCTATCTTTATAGACTCAAAGACACCTACTGAAATGTTAGGTGTTTATACCTGGGCACTGGGATTAGGGGTCACTTCCCTTTTTCTTCATTCTATTCTGCATTTTCCAGATTTTTTGCAGTCAGTTTAAATTTTTCTGATTAGAAAAACAATCCAAATAATGTTACCTTAAAAAAAGGCAAACAGACCCCCACATAAACATTAGCATTTGGACTTTTATTCTTTTTTTTTCTTTTAATTTTAAAGATCTAATTGGCTTTATTAATTGATTCATGAATTAGGCCGCATCCCATCTAGCAAGTAGAGGGGAGCTCCCGGAAGCCTCTATTCTTACTCCCATTCTCTGTCATAAAGTGATTTGTCTCCTCCTCAGATTTGTTTTGTGTCTAGAGTGGCTGGATTTCAAGCGCCGAGTGGGGCACGTGTACTAAGGCGGTTTTTCCATAAGCTGTTTTTGTGAAGCAGATTTTCTGTGGGATCAAATACATTTTGGGAAATCTGGGCTAAAGAAAGTTTCTCTCCTGGGAGGGCTTTTTAGAGTCCTCAGTGACTTTTTAAGGGGGATGTAAGCAGTGCCTAGTGTTTTCCAAATTTATTTGACCCTGGAGTTCTTTCCTCATTAAATACCTTTTGGATCCGGGGGTCTGCAGTTTGGGATGTGTGCACTGGGCCAGGGGGTGTGGTGGTGGAGTTGGGGCTCCAGGCCTTTTCCAGGTTTGTGCAGTCCCTTTCCATTCCCACTGAGTAACCGTGTGGTGTTTCCTAAGCAGGCAGCATGCACGGTTCCCATGGGTCATGGCGTTTTCCCCTTTTTGTTGTTAGACCTTTCCGCAAGGTGAACGAGAAAGGCGCCTTGCTCTGGGACAAGATCCACAAGTTGCAGAAAGGCCAGATTTATAAGCAGGTACGTCATGACCGATTTTTCCTTCTTGTTCCTTTGCTTTGTGGTCAGGTATAATGAAAACAGCCAACGTTTGTTGAGGCCTCCCGTGTGCCTGGCATAGTTCTGAGTGTTCTGCTTGAATCGGCTGTTTATAACATGGCAGCAAAATTTAAACTTAAGTCAGTATATTCTCAATGTGTTATGTCTAAATTAACTCAGAATTGAATAGTCCTTAAAAACAAAATTTAAAGAACTACTTTCATAGTATATATAATTTAAGATGTTAGTAGTAAACATTGGATATTTCTCTTGAAGAAGCATTGAATCACATGGTGTATTATCTTAAGTTAGTGATTATTTCCTGATGAGCTGTGTTTTATATACAGTTGTTTTTTTTTTTTTTTTAAAGATTTTATTTATTTATTTGACAGAGAGAGACAGCAAGGGAGGGAACACAAGCAGGGGGAGTGGGAAAGGGAGAAGCAGGCTTCCCGCTGAGCAGGGAGCCCGACGCAGGGCTCGATCCCAGGACCCCGGGACCATGACCTGAGCCGAAGGCAGTCGCTTAACCACCTGAGCCACCCAGGTGCCCCCATATACAGTTTTGATATATTTTGGTATCAGTAAAGCTCTCAAATGTTTGAATAAGTGATTGAATCACTGACCCTTCTTGTGTTACTGAAGTTTGTTTTATCTCATCCTTTGAAATTTTTATATTTCTGTAAGATTTATAAAACACATGCAATTATAGAACAGTACCACACGGTTAAAAAAACTCAGTACATTCCTGGTGGATTTATAAAGCACTGCTGATGTGGCAGGAAGTATATTTTCTAGACCTTGAGAGATTGGCTTTGATACAGCCGTCCCACTAGTAGGAAGTTAGACCAAGGAAATTATTAAGATGTAGCTAAAACTTTGCTACAAGAATATTTACCATGAGTTACAAAATAGATAACAAGGTAAATGTCCAGCATCAGGGAATTGGTAAAAGGAATCACAGTATTTCTCAGCTACTGAAATGGTAGATTAGTTACTTATTGACAGGGTCATAGACTGTTCAGTGTAAAAGGATCATTACAAAGAGGTATATACAATATGAATCGTTTTCGGAAAGTGCATTTGACTTAGAAGAAAGGTCTGAGAGATTCCACGCAAAGGTATTTTTGTCTTTTATGTTTTGATACTTAAATTGTATATGAAAGCAAAGTTTTTAAAGATAGATATTTTGGGCCGCAGGTTATATAGGCTTCTATCTCAGATGATATAATATCTATATTTTTCTATTATTGCAGGGCAATTTATATGAATTTTTGAAGCTTACTGGATGGAGAGGATCCAAAGTGTTGTATTTTGGTGACCACATATACAGTGACCTGGCGGTGAGGAGCCTCTTTTTCCATTTCTTTGTTGGGGGACAGATGTGTTAGTCTCACTTCCTAACGAATTTCTCTTTAAGACCATTTTTATGGTTTCATAAAAATGAGGACTAGGTCGCCTTTTTTTTTTTTTTTTAATGTCTCATTTTTTACAGAACAGAACGGATGAGAGGTGTAAAAGTAATTTTTTTTGAAATGATAGAAATTAGTAATTTACTCAGGATTTATCAGAAAAATATTTCCATTTAAGTAATGGTAAAAAATAAATGCCAGTGTTCTTTTCTTTTTTAAAGATTTTATTTATTTATTTGACAGAGAGAGACA